TAACTGGTGGCATTCTTGAGTAAGATGCAAGATTTAAAGGTCTGCATCTTTAAAAACAAAAACTTGCACAGTGTAAAGATGGCAAAATATCTTGAGGACTAAAAAGGATATTGCCTTGGTCTCCTCTCACCATGCCCATCTAGTTATTATTTTAGATTTTTATAAAGTTGTTTTATTTACTCCATTAATTCTCTTTAATTTTATATGGTCGTACTAGCAGATATTTAAAGTTCAGGGGAAGAGAAGGATGAATAACCCAAATTTGACTGTTTTTGGCCAGCCTGCTATAGCATGACTCCTGCAAAACCTCCTCCTTAATTATATATATTTTGGGAAGTCTGCAGGACTTGTCACATGTGCTCATAAACAAGTACAATCATTTACTAATGGACATTGGCTATTTTCTTCTCACTTGCCTCACCTACTACTTGCTAGGCTTGCTCCATCAACTGATTATTGCTGATATTTCTCCAGGTTTTATGGATTACTCCTTGGCCACCCTGTCTACTTTTGCTGAGTGTGGATCCATTTTGTCTGGATACCACCACTCTTGCTGAGTATGTTAATCCAAAGGGCTGCCAGTCCTGCTTACTTTCTGCTGGGTATCATCCCCTATAGCCACTACATTACTCTTATACCAAATGTTCCCTATGGGGGCCGCAAAGAGGTCCTTTATAAAGCAAAATATCTCTCTCCCCCTTTTGTCTGTATTTTTTTAATTAAAGATTTTATTTATTTATTTGATAGTACAAGCAGGGGAGGGGCAGAGGCTGAGGGAGAGGGAGAAGCAGGCTCCCTGCTGATCAGGGAGCCCGACTCAACACACACCTACACCTAAAGGAGCTAGAGAAAAAACAGCAAATAAAGCCTAAACCCAGCAGGAGAAGAGAAATCATAAAGATCAGAGCAGAAATCAATGAAATAGAAACCAAAAGAACAGTAGAACAGATCAACGAAACTAGGAGCTGGTTCTTTGAAAGAATTAACAAGATTGATAAACCCCTGGCCAGACTTATCAAAAAGAAAAGAGAAATGACCCAAATCAACAAAATCATGAATGAAAGAGGAGAGATCACAACCAACACCAAAGAAATACAAACAATTATAAGAACATATTATGAGCAACTCTATGCCAGCAAATTAGATAACCTGGAAGAAATGGGTGCATTCCTAGAGATGTATCAACTACCAAAATTGAACCAGGAAGAAATAGAAAACCTGAACAGACCTATAACCACTAAGGAGATTGAAGCAGTCATCAAAAATCTCCCAACAAACAAAAGCCCAGGGCCAGATGGCTTCCCAGGGGAATTCTACCAAACATTTAAAGAAGAATTAATACCTATTCTTCTGAAACTGTTCCAAAAAATAGAAATGGAAGGAAAACTTCCAACCTCATTTTATGAGGCCACCATTACCTTGATCCCAAAACCAGACAAAGACCCCATCATAAAGGAGAATTACAGACCAATATCCTTGATGAACATGGATGCAAAAATTCTCACCAAAATACTAGCCAATAGGATCCAACAGTACATGAAAAGGATTATTCACCATGACCAAGTGGGATTTATCCCTGGGCTGCAAGGCTTGGTCACCATGACCAAGTGGGATTTATCCCTGGGCTGCAAGATTGGTTCAACATCTGCAAATCAATCAACATGATACAATACATTAACAAAAGAAAGAACAAGAATCATATGATCCTCTCAATAGATGCAGAAAAAGCATTTGACAAAGTACAGCATCCCTTCTTGATCAAAACTCTTCAGAGTATAGGGATAGAGGGTACATACCTCAATATCATAAAAGCCATCTATGAAAAACCTACAGTGAATATCATTCTCAATGGGGAAAAGCTGAGAGCTTTTCCCCTAAGGTCAGGAATGTGGCAGGGATGTCCACTCTCACCACTGCTATTCAACATAGTATTAGAAGTCCTAGCCACAGCAATCAGACAACAAAAAGAAATCAAAGGCATCCAATTCGGCAAAGAGGAAGTCAAACTCTCACTCTTTGCAGATGATATGATACTGTATGTGGAAAACCCAAAAGACTCCACCCCAAAACTGCTAGAACTCATACAAGAATTCAGTAAAGTAGCAGGCTATAAAATCAATGCACAGAAATCAGTGGCATTCCTGTACACCAACAACAAGACAGAAGAGAGACAAATCAAGGAGTCGATCCCATTTACAAATGCACCCCAAACCATAAGATAACTAGGAATAAATTTAACCAAAGAGGCAAAGGATCTGTACTCAGAAAACTACAAAATACTTATGAAAGTAATTGAAGAAGACACAAAGAAATGGAAAAACGTTCCATGCTCATGGATTGGAAGAACAAACATTGTGAAGATGTCAATGCTACCTAGAGCAATCTACACATTCAATGCAATCCTCATCAAAATACCATCCAGCTTTTTCAAAGAAATGGAACAAATAATCCTAAAATTTGTATGGAAACAGAAGAGACCCCAAATAGCCAGAGGAATATTGAAAAAGAAAAGCAAAGCTGGCGGCATCACAATTCCGGACTTCCAGCTCTATTACAAAGCTGTCATCATCAAGACAGTATGGTACTGGCACAAAAACAGACACATAGATCAATGGAACAGAATTGAGAGCCCAGAAATGAACCCTCAACTCTATGGTCAACTCATCTTTGACAAAGCAGGAAAGAATGTCCAATGGAAAAAAGACAGTCTCTTCAACAAATGGTGTTGGGAAAATTGGACAGCCACATGCAGAAGAATGAAACTGGACCATTTCCTTACGCCACACACAAAAATAGACTCCAAATGGTTGAAAGACCTAAACGTGAGACAGGAGTCCATCAAAATCCTAAAGGAGAACACAGACAGCAACCTCTTCGACCTCAGCCACAGCAACTTCTTCCTAGAAACATCACCAAAGGCAGGGGAAGCCAGGGCAAAAATGAACTATTGGGATTTCATCAAGATAAAAAGCTTTTGCACAGCAAAAGAAACAGTCCACAAAACCAAAAGACAGCTGACAGAATGGGAGAAGATATTTGCAAATGACACATCAGATAAAGGGCTAGTATCCAAAATCTATAAAGAACTTATCAAACTCAACACCCAAAGAACAAATAATCCAATCAAGAAATGGGCAGAAGACGTGAACAGACATTTTTCCAAAGAAGACATCCAAATGGCCAACAGACACATGAAAAAGTGCTCAACATTGCTCGGCATCAGGGAAATCCAAATCAAAACCTCAATGAGATACCACCTCACACCAGTCAGAATGGCTAAAATTAACAAGTCAGGGAACGACAGATGTTGGCGGGGACGCGGAGAAAGGGGAACCCTCCTACACTGTTGGTGGGAATGCGAGCTGGTGCAACCACTCTGGAAAACAGTATGGAGGTTCCTCAAACAGTTGAAAATAGAGCTACCATACGATCCAGCAATTGCACTATTGGGTATTTACCCCAAAGATACAAATGTAGGGATCCGAAGGGGTACGTGCACCCCAATGTTTATAGCAGCAATGCCCACAATAGCCAAACTGTGGAAAGAGCCAAGATGTCCATCGACAGATGAATGGATAAAGAAGATGTGGTATAAATACACAATGCAATATTATGCAGCCATCAAAAGGAATGAGATCTTGCCATTTGCAACGACGTGGATGGAACTGGAGGGTGTTATGCCGAGTGAAATAAGTCAATCAGAGAAAGACTTGTATCATATGACCTCACTGATATGAGGAATTCTTAATCTCAGGAAACAAACTGAGGGTTGCTGGAGTGGTGGGGGGTGGGAGGGATTGGGTGGCTGGGTGATAGACATTGGGGAGGGTATGTGCTATGGTGAGCACTGTGAATTGTGCAAGACTGATGAATCACAGATCTGTACTTCTGAAACAAATAATGCAATATATATTAAGAAAGAAAAAGAAGAAGATAGCAGGAGGGGAAGAATGAAGGGGAGTAAGTCGGAGGGGGAGACGAACCATTAGAGACGATGGACTCTGAAAAACATACTGAGGGTTCTAGAGGGGAGGGGGGTGGGGGGATGGGTTAGCCTGGTGATGGGTATTAAAGAGGGCACATTCTGCATGGAGCACTGGGTGTTATGCACAAACAATCAATCATGGAACACTATATCAAAAACTAATGATGTAATGTATGGTGATTAACATAACAATAAACAATTATTTTAAAAAAAGAAATAGCCAATGTGGGGATGCCTTGGTCAGTTAAGCAGCTGCCTTTGGCTCAGGTCATGATCCCAGGATCCTGGGATTGAGTCCTACAACAGACTCTTTGCTCAGTGGGGATCCTGCTTCTCCCTTTGTCTGCCACTCCCCCTGCTTGTGCTCTCTCCCTCTCTCTCTCTGACAAATAAATAAATAGAATCTTTAAAAAAAAAACAATGTGGATTACAAGGAAAATTATTCTTTAGTCTCCATTTCTGTTATCAGGGGAAAGTTGACAAATTCTTTATTATTGAATTGACTTAAATGGAGAAACAGAGTTTCAAGTGCAGTCTGCTTTTGATATATGAGTAAAGGTGTGGCCCTTTTGGCTTTAACTATAAAATTATTTTCATATTTAATTTGCATAATAAAAGTTTTTTTTATTTAGCTACTAACAACTAAACTTCAGCCTTGTCTTTGCCCATATTGTCATAAATTCTAATTATTGGTGTTGAGTAAACACTAAATTTAAGAATGTGAGTTTTTATTTTCTAGTGTAGTCTAAAAGTTGTGACTTCTGTTGTTCAATATCAGAGGAAATATGCTCCTGTTTCATCACATCCTCTCTCTGTTCCCAGTGAAATATTAGTCCATTTCCATGTCCTAATTCAAATACTTTCTCTTGTGTAGAAACTAGATGTTTTACCTTCATAAAATCCCTATTGTACTTTGTACTTATTCTTTTATTCATTTCACCTTGTGAAATTACTATCTAAGGTGAGCGATTGTAGGTAATACACTTCTTGTGTTTTTTCCAGATAAATTTGCATAATGCTAGAGATATTGAGTAATAGCAGTAGCAGCAACAACAGTGGTAACAATAAATTAATTGAACAAAAGTGCCCTCAAAATAGTCCTGAGGTAGGTACTTTATTATACCCATTTTATATCTGGGGGGAACGTAGAGAAATAAGTTAGTTGTCCAAGTTAGTTAGTAAACTGAGAAGTTAGAATAAGAAACCAGGCAGTTAGAGTGTAGAACCTATACATTAAGCTTACTAAATGCAAATAAATATTTGTTTGTTTTATTTATATATAAATATATAATATTTATTATTTATTTATTAAGTGTTTCTTTAAACAAACATTCCAGGCCTCACTCATCCAAATGAGAAGGGTGCATTTTACATATTCTAATACAGTAAGTATTTTGGTTTTAAAAAAAGTATAACCCTAAAGTAATAATCCCAAAATAAGCCTCATAAAACTAACTGAAAGCAATTCCAAAAAATATGGGTTTGGAAATATTTTGAGTAATAGCAGCATCACTAGAATCACTCCCAAGGAGACAACTCTGAGATAATGCCCAATTGAATTGAAAAACTTGTAATTAGCTTAGTATCACTTTTTCTCTATTGCCTGCCGATAAGGAACGTCATCCTCTTTCACAGTAATGAGGTCCACTAGCTCTTCTGCCCCATAGCTGTATACAGTGGCAGCCAGCTTCTGGTGACAGCAGGATAGATCTGGGGACTGACGGGTCCTTTGTTTTATAGCTAGCCTTTTAAGGCACTTTAGTTCAAGGAGGAGAGTGAACTCAGATCAATCCAAATATCTCTCTTATTTTTTTTAAAGATTTTATTTATTTGACAGAGAAAGAGACACAGCGAGAGAGGGAACACAAGCAGGGGAGTGGGAGAAGGAGAAGCAGTCTTCCTGCGGAGCAGGGAGCCCGATGCGGGGCTTGATCCCAGGACCCTGGGATCATGACCTGAGCTGAAGGCAGATGCTTAATGACTGAGCCACCCAGGCACCCCTATCTCTATTATTTTTATGGCCTGTTTCCTTGTTACCCATTTTCAGCTTCATTTTTCTGTCACTTTCTACCATGCTTTTTAATCTACCTCCTTGCTTGGCATATGCCATCCTTTTACTCACCTTACTACTATTCTCCCTCTCACACCTCTACATAGCCCAGGATTCAAGAGTGCTCTGGTTTCAAGCACAGATCCTGGAGCCAGTCTGCTTTTTTCAAAGCCTGCCTCAACTACCTGCTGGCTATGTGGCTTCTCAGTGCCTCAGTTTCCTCATTATGGGAGTAGTACTTCAAAGGGTAGCTCTAAGAATTAAATGAGTTCATACATATAAAATGTTTAGAACAGTGCTTGTAATGAGGTCAGTACTTAGGAAATATTGCCTGTTGCCTGTTATCATCATCATTTTCTTTTCTTTTTTTTTTTTAAGATTTATTTATTTATTTTGAGAGAGTGAAAATGAGAGAGAGAGGAGAGCACATGAGAGGGGGAGGGCCAGAGGGAGAAGCAGGCTGCTCGCTGAGCAGGGAGCCTGATGCGGGACTCGATCCCGGGACTCCAGGATCATGACCTGAGCCGAAGGCAGTCGCTTAACCAACTGAGCCACCCAGGTGCCCCATCATCATTTTCTTTATCATCATTTAACTGGTGAAATCCTATGCTTCTTTGAGGTCCTGCTAACATTTCACAACTTCTCTGTAGCTTTCTCAGAGCCCCACTGTTCCAGGCGGGCTTGGCTCTTCCATGCTGCCACATTGTTCACTCTGCCATTTCAGTATTGGCACACCACATCTTGTTATTTGAACATGCATCTCTTTCTTGATTATTGTAAATACAGTGACATCAAATGTAACGGTGAAGAAAGGAAGAAAGAAGATTGTACTATGTCTAAAATTATTTTGGGGGGTGCCTGGGTGGCTCAGTTGTTAGGCATCTGCCTTCGGCTCAGGTCATGGTCCCAGGGTCCTGGGATTGAGCCCTGCGTCGGGCTCCCTGCTTCCCCCTGCTTGTGTTCCCTCTCTCTCTGTCAAATAAATAAATAAATAAATAAATAAGATCTTTAAAAATAAAATAAAATTATTTTGGGTTATCACCCATATGAATAGTATGGGAAATATTTTTAGTCTCTCCTAATGTTAAAGAAGCTGGGGGCTTTTTCTTCTGTCTAAAGATGTCATAAAATATTTTTCAAGCTTTCTTTGTTATTCATGTTTATTGGAAAGAGCAATTTTTTTATTATCTCTATAAAGAAAGTATCAGTAGTTTACATATTTCTAACATATGGTGAACTATACATATAGTATAGTACTACATGTATTTCTAAGCAAACATTTGGAAGTTATAAAATATTTGTAAAATGTTGACTTTTTTTTCTGATTCATATTGGCCTTTCTCCAATTAGTCCAAATTAATGACATACTACTTCATGAAAAAGTATCGGTAATATCCATCACTAGCCCCTGATATTAAAACTAGGAGGAAATACTCGATGAACTGTTTTGTTATCTTGTTTTTTCCATTTTAATGTATTTAGAGTAGAGTATCTGAATCTATCATGACATGCAGATTAACAAACTTTTCTGAATGCTAATGTGGTTTTACAGTTTACCTTTAAGTAAATGTTTCTGATAATAGTAACTGTATACCATTTACCTTGCAAATTCCATTTTAATTAGCTTGTTTATATGTGGGAGATCATAAATATTTGCTTTGTATATTAAAAATACACCACAAAAGGTGTTTGTACTTAATAATTACCTAACAGATCTTTCCTTTTCTTAAAATGTTTTAGAAATGCTTAAATACTAAATAATTCTAAATATACTCAGAGCCTTAAAAATCAAACAAGTTACTGAAAATTCAAATACATTCTTCTTACCACATTTCTCAGTGAGATGGCATACTATGTTTAGGAAGAGTGTATTTTTCTTTTTCTAGAGTTTATTTCTGGATGGTTAACCAAGGATATGTTAAAATATGTTTATTCTAATGGATGCCATATCTCAAATATGAGTAGTGTCAAATGATTCTGTTATTTTTCTAAGGGATCTGGTTTTATTGACAATAATTAATTGGCATCTCTTTTTAACTTTTTTTTAAACAGGACAGAGATTTCTTCTGCCATCAGATGTCTTTCTGCTTGACTGAACTGCACCTGTGGTCTTTGAAGACTACCTTACACATTGGGGGTAAGTGAGCTCTGGGTTAATTTCAGTATTTTTCAAATATAAGTTATAACGTTATAAGTAAGTACTAGCAAAGGTTAGAGCCTGGATTCTTTAGCTAGAATTGCATTATTTTCTTATACTTAATGAAAAATTGGTTAATGAAAAATAATTCTTTTTAGTTACTCTGAAAAAGTTATTTTTTTCAACTTGAGTTAGATTTTCTGTTGTGAAATTAATTTTATTGGCCTAATATTTGTTTCCTTTTAGGATACATACATGTTCAGTTTTTTCCTGGGATTGTTCATAATGACTGATATATATTCATAAATATTTGCAGGCTAGCTAATGGTAAGGGTATTTCTATTTGATATTAAGATAATATTTCAAACATACAGCTAAGATGTACAATTAATTATGTTTATATTCTTTCATTTCACATTTTGGGGGATGTTTTAATGATGCTTATTAGTATTTTAGCATAAAGTATGTATTGTTAGGAAATAACTTTTAAATATCTTTTCCTCTTTGATTATCCAAAACAACTTTAGTATTTAGGAGACTTTTATTTATATGCCTTTAGCATCATTACTAAGAAGATGGTTTGCCTTGCAAATGTAATTATAATTTCACTAAGTTTACTTTGCTTAAAATGTGCTAAGGATAGAATTTCCAGTAAAACAAGGTAGATTTAACACACATTTGCTTCCTCCCCAAATTCTTCTAAAATGAGAATAAATGAATTAAAGAAGGCATAAACCCATAAGGACTAAGAGAATAGGAGAGGAGACAATTGCAATTGGGCAATTTTTGGAAGATGGAAGGGATGGAGGAATTATCAAAACTTAAAAATCTGAATATCAAATGTCTACAGAAGAGAATTGCAAAGACAGCCACTCTGTGTCTCAGAATTCTAGAAAGATACAGAAATTTGAGAAGCCAGATACTGCAGAAGGATGGGGATTCAGCATGAGGGTGACAACAAAGGGACTTGAAAGTTTGCTTATGAAGTGTTGAGACACCTCTCATACATGTGGAAGTATTTAATTAGAGATGCTCTAAACTTGGAGACATCAGCCCCAGGAAAAGAAGACAGGGGAAAGGTGCTGATGTGAAAATATGATGAAGTGAAAACCTACCTACTGATGGGTGAAATCCTCTTAATCCCACTTGATTCCGAAATGTGTCACAGCCAGTTGTGTACTTTCTAAGAAAGAAGGAGTTTGAGGCCCTGGAGCAACTGCATGACCTCAAAAAGAAGATCTATTGACATTGACATTTGAGGGGTTCCTCCAGTGAAACACCCTGGTCCCTGGCTGATCAGTGAAGCCCACCAGTTGGCAAGCCCTCTTCATGTACACAGAGCTTCTAATCAGTTTTCTAGTGCCTCATTTTGAAATATGAAGAGCAAGAAACAAAATACAGAAGTTTTAGAAAACACTGGAAAGTGATTCTGACCTCTTGGAAATTAAAAATAGCAGAAAAAAATTTTAAACTCAAAAGAGCAACAAAGAAAGAATTCTCTCCGAAAATAGAAGAGAAAAAAAAAAAAACCCACAGGAAGAAATTCAGCTTATTTCACTGCTAGTGAAAGTATAAATTGGTGCAACCACTTTAGGAAACAATTTGACATTATCTAGTATAGTTGGAACTATATGTCACCTATTGACCAGTAATTCCACTCCTGGGTGTATACTCTAGCAAAAGCCCTGACACTTGTGCACCAGGAGACATGTACCAAAATGTTCATAATAGTACTGTTTATGACGCAGGCAACTAGAAACAACCCAGCAGGAGAATGGATTTATGCAACAGAGAAAGTGAATGCGTTATAGCTGTATGCAACAGCATCAGTGAATGTCAAGAATATAATATTGGGCAAAAAAAAAAAAAAGTAAGTTGCAGAAGAGTACAAATAGTATGATTGCATTTAGAGGAAGTTCAAAAACAATAGATAGAAAATCTGATAGGAAAAAGTGAAATGAATGCTGTGACAAAAGATAAGATTAATAAACAGGAGCAATAAGAATAGTAGAGTCTCAACATACGAATTCTATACTCAATTACTAATTCTGGGAAAAGCAGCAAAGAGGAAGCAAAGAAATTATCAAAGAAATATTACTAGAAATTTTCCTAGAACTAAGAAAATGAGTTTATAGGTTGAAAAGTCCTGTAAGTACTGAACACAATGAATCGAAGAAGACATATATGAAGGCCCATCAGCGTGAAATTTCAGAACACTGAGCATAAAGAAAAAATCCAGAGATCAAAAAAGATATAGGGGCGCCTGGGTGGCTCAGTTGTTAAGCGTCTGCCTTCGGCTCAGGTCATGATCCCGAGGTCCTGGGATCGAGTCCCGCATCGGGCTCCCTGCTCAGCGGGAAGCCTGCTTCTCCCTCTCCCACTCTCTCTGCTTGTGTTCCCTCTCTCACTGTATCTCCCTCTCTCTCTGTCAAATAAATAAATAAAATCTTAAAAAAAAAAGATATAGCAAAAAAAGAACAAATGGATTACATACAAAGGGTTGGAACTTAGATTGCCCTTGGCCTTTTTAACACTGATAGTGGACACTATGAAGCAATGGAATGATGTCTTTAAAATTCAGAGAGAAATTATTTCCAACTTAGTATTCTCTTCCCAGCCAGCTAGTCAGTCAGTTGTCAGAAGACATTTTCAGCTTTGTAAATACTCACCAAATTTACCTTCCTTTTCTCATTAAACTGCCAGAGCATATGTGTCTTGCCAAACAAGGGAATTAATCCAAGACAGAAGGCACACCTGTCTAGTCAGGAAAATAGACAGTATCTGTGCATCAGACCTAGAAGTTAGACAGTCCAGAAATAGTACCAGATCATAAGGCTCTAGGGAAGATGTTGCCAATGAAAAAATTATACTGATTAATCATTGAAATGTGAGAGTATATTGGAGATTAATTAGTGTTAACATTCTTTAAAAAGCTTTTATTTATTTGAGAGAGAGAGAGAGAGTGAGTGAGCATGAGCGGGGGGAGGGGGAGAGGGAGAGGGAGAAGCAGACTCCCTGCTGAGCAGGGAACCCGATGTGGGGCTCTATCCCAGGATCCGAGGATCATGACGTGAGCTGAAGGCAGATGCTTAACCGACTGACCCACCCAGGCACCTGTGTTAACATTCTTTTAAAGCAAATAAAAAACAAGGCAATTTTTAACATCAGGGAAGTTGTATAAAAAAAGGAAATGCAATCATATAGTGTACCTACCCCATGCTTTGGTTATGAATAGTGTTTATGTATTCATTAATATTGTAAGCACTGACTTAACCAAAAATTGTGCTCTAATTATATTGGGAGGATGGGGAGAAGTGTAAGTTAAGTGTCTGTAGGTAGGGAGGGGTACACAGTGGTAAAAGATAACTGAATTCTCAATTTCCATAGTGGATAGGCAATAGATAATATCTACAACTGAAGAATCAAAAAATAA